TGTAACAACTGAACAATCTAAGTTCTAAGTTGAACGTCACTGTCCAACCAGTATTTGTACGCCCCAAGCTCGAGCAACAACTTAAGCGACACGAGATTAAGCCCCCTATTGTCAACCAACAATGTCTCGTCTATGAATTTGAATGTAACTTGTGCTATGCAGGGTATCTGGGTTATACACGTGGTCACTTACACGGGCGCGTAAAAGGGCACACTAGAAAGTCATCTTCGATTTACAAACATTATAACCTTCAACATAATAGCGAAATCCCTGAACGCTTCATGGAGCTATTTCACACCATCACGAAATGTAGCGGCAAATTTGATTACCTCATTAAAGAAATGTTATACATTCGCATGCGTAAACCAACACTGAACGTGCAAACAGATTCCATCCGCGCCAAGGTGTTTGTTTAGGCCGTTTATTGTAATTTATGCTTGTCTTGTACCTTTCCTTAGTTGCATGCTAGTTAACTAGTGTCTTGATAATGGAGTCTTGATTCCGAAACGTCAAGCAGCAATACATCTTTCTTAGTTTTTTATATGCTTTGCATCAGCAAATCTCTACTGATCAAATTAATTTCGATGTGAGAAAAAGGAAAGAAAATATTCCGTACACGGCAAACGCAAAACAGGTTACTTTCACGTAGAAACGGCAAAGCGCGACCGGCAAACGTGAAAAAATGGTACTCACTCACTCTTGCCGTTCACATTTCAAGTAAACGCGGTGCTAAATCTCTCTAATAAATAAAAAAATGAAACACCCAGCATGCTACAACATACCTAACTCTGAATTGGTTTTGATAGTGCATACTACGGTTTACTTTTTGCAATATTACACTAAAAATGTTTTACGCTACTACCTGTCATTATGTATACTTTATTTATGTTCTCGTTTTCATATTTCCGACCAGTTGCAGCCTGAGGCTGAATTACGGGTGCAGTTTAAGGTTGAGATCAGCGTCAGCATATCAGGCGCCTCTGGCTTCAGTCCATCGACCTCACCTTCCTACCCATCCCACCCCAGGGGAGGACATCCATCACACAGTAATCTCGTGTGTGGGAAATTAACGTCTCCTACCCCCAACCCTGCAGGAGACAGGACCCCATTTATTCGTCCCTATCCGAGAAGACTAGAATATCTAACCATTTCTTGATGTTATAGAAAGGTAGCAGATTTTTCTCAATTATTTTAAGACCGTGAGTATTGGCACGGCCGGGGTTCGAACCCTCGACCTCCCGCACAACAGTCCAGCGCACTACTTATTGGGCTAACTTAACTCTAACCGCCTCCCATAGTACAGTTTAAGCTAAAGTGAAGTTTTCTATCAAATAACAATTCTTTCGTCTCCTAAAGTGATTCCTTTCCGAGTTGTGGATAAGACGAAATCCTTAAAGGACAGAAAGGTATCAAACTGAACAAGTTCTGATTTGAAAAAAAAAAAAAAGGCCGATTTTGTCTTACCCTGCTGTTTCTTTACATATGCTCAATATTCCCCGTAAGATCTGTGGATCACCTAGAAGCTGACCGTTATCTTCGAATGAAAAGTAAAATAATAAATAATCGTTTAGTTTAGTTTAGTCATTTTTCCTGCATTAACCGCAGTGGGGAAGGACTAGAACAGGAACATAAATTCCCTTCAAGCTAGTCCACCCAAATTATAACCGACCCAAACCACCCCAGGGGAGGACATCCATCACACAGTAATCTCGTGCGTGGGAAATTAACGTCTCTTGCCCCCTTACCCTGCAAGAGACGGGACCTCCGGCTTTACGTCCTATCCGAGAAGACGAAGCAATGTGAGTAAAGCGTCTTGCTTAAGGTGGCTGAACACAGTTTTTGATACCTTTGTTCTTTCACCATTTTCTCTAAAACCCTTGATCTCTCCGTCGCCAAAACCGGGAGCAAGCAAGTTAACAACATAAACTTTGTTTTTTCGATAGTTAAGGTGACGTATGTGCCGTTGCCATGGCGACATGAATGGATATAAATAGAGAATTAAAATCGGTTTTGTTACTTTGTAGAAAATCTAGGCATTAGATTTTCTTTCTAATTTGCAAGCCAGGAGATTGTAACGATACTCACAAGTTAACAT